TCGGATAGTAATGGGATAATGTTGTAACCAACATTAATCAACATTAAACAACGACATGGCAAGATGGATCAATATCAAAATATAGATATATACGTATTATTTATATATAAATAATATGCATATTATAATATATAAATAATATGTATATTATAATACATATATATATATATATATACTGTATATATATATATATCAATACCTACAAAAATGCAACCAGCTGGTCTTCTTGCCATTAGGCACCGATGATTCCACATGGGCGATGAAGATCCATTTCACAACTACCTGTTTTACTTGACATATGTGACATATGGGCATCATATGAGATAAAGGGGGGGGCTATAATGGGATATATATATATATATAACCAACCAAATGATGTTTGGGTGCGTTTGAAGATAGGGTACACCCCCATTTTTTAAAAATGTTAGTAGGGAAAATGATTCTAAACCAGTGGATTTGGGTTGACCTATTTTCATCCACAGCCATGCCATGCCGTGTGAGGAAACGATCGAAGCAACCGAGCTGCACTAAGCACATGTTGGGTTGTTGATGTTTGCTAGTGTAAATGTATATGTTCTACAATGCCTGCTTCTCATTGGAGCTAAGTCTTGCTGCGAATTTAGGTGATAGTCGACCGTATCTTTGAGGCCTATTCTATCTTATTTTGATATTTGGAAAGATGTGAGCTATGTTGACGTCCAGGAATCTCTGATAACCCAAGCAGCGTTGACCACCAGACCAAGGTTGGGTAGCAAATCCCAGGAGAGGTTGACGGCAAAGTCTTGTGTCCTTGTTGCATCATGTTGTGGAGTCCTTAAAAAAAATGTTTGTTGACAAAGGTAAAAAAAACACCGTCACCTTTCCTGAAATGGTGATACCGTGATACCCCCAAGAGCTGGATGGTTTACAATGTTTACAATGGAAAATCCGAATTTAGAAACCCTCCATATGTTGGTTATGTCGGTGTTGTGGTTTTGGAAGGAGGAAGAGCCCTACAAAGAGCCCTACAACGCTGCTCGGAACAACCTATCTGACGGCAGCCACGGATCTCTTTTCTTTGCTCCAAGGCCGGGGCCGTGAACGGGTCGAATTTCTATTGTTTGACTTTGGGCATTTACCTGTACTACAAATCTGGCTTATCACATGATCTTTTCTCTATAGTTCAGACTTCTTTAAAAAAAAAAACATAACCACAATTTGAAGCCATAAACAAATCATGAATGGAAATCGTATCCAAATCATAAATAAATCATAAACAAAATAGTTTGAAAACCCTTCATCCTAGAGACTTAGGAACTCTGAACTCTATAGTTTTTTGGTGTGTTTTAAAGACTTGCTTTTTGTGGGCTGAGATTTTGAGCAAAACGACAAGCACCGGCCAGGGATCCCTACTCAGTGGCTCCTGAAGGCCTGAAGTCATGACGACAGAACAAAATCAGCAACAGCATTGGGTATTTGGCACCAGGAACACTGTTACGCGGATATGTTGAATTCGATGGGCGTTTTCTACACACTGATTTTCAGAGTTGGCTGGACTGGCTGGACATTGTATCAACGCAATGATCAGGATGTCAGGATGTCGTCATAGGTTGTATCAACGATACTCTGGCGTTTGGACTTAACTTGGTCGTGTTGTTCAGCCTCAGCACATGTTTCACTTTCCACAAAGTTTGAGTTATGTTAAATCAATTTGGGCAAGAAAGAAACATGCAGATCAGGGTCATCTCATGGCAACCTGCCTTTGTGAGGCTCTCCCAATGAAGCCTTGTCTCTCAGACCAGTTCGTGCAGGCGATGATTTGTCATTGTGAAAATGTGGGTGGAAGGTACAGGCCTATCGTCCAATGAAGATCTGCTAAAAAAATGGGGTATAATGAGACATAATGAGATACTGTATTTATGTTATATCGATGGCTCATCGATATAATTAAATATCACATGATATCATGCATGAAATGGTAGAATCCATCCTCCTTGCTAAGATGGCTTGTCAGGTGCCCTGCTGCGGGCCTCCACAGGCCTCAGCTTGGAAGGAGGCAAAGACTCGGGGATCCAATTTGCTTGGCTTCACATCTGGTGGTTTCAACACATTTTAGGTGTTTTTGTTGTTGCATACCTGAGATATCCTGAGATGATAATCAAAAAACTTGACCAATATAATTATATATATATACCAATATCTGGATTCTGGGTTTGGGTCGAAACCTTCAGGTGTTTTCTTCACCTGAGGTCTTCCCGTCAGTCCAATCAGCTTCCTGCTCAATCAGGACTCGGGCTGCCACTGTGTGTTGAGGGCAACATTATTTCATGATCTTGCATGAATATAACATATAATATATAATGATTAATATGTAATATATAATATCTAACATATTATTTACAATATATAATATATAATATATAATCTATAATGTATTATATATAATCTATAATATATAATATATACTTGATATATAATATATGACATATAATAATTTAATATACAACATATATATAATATCACATATATATAATATGATATACAATATATGATATACATAATATGTGATATATGTTGAATCTGTGCTTTGTTGTTTGAGTACTCATATGTATCATGCATCTTATACATCTCAAGATCATGTTTGATACGTAAATACAGAACTTCAGCCTTCAGCATCTCGAATTGTGGCCAGGACGAAGGTGTCAGTACCAAACTCCGCATGTGAGGTGACAGTTGAGGATTTTGGCGCAGGCTTTGGCTCTGGTTCTGAAATGTCTACCCTGCGGTAATTCTTCATAGTTTGCTCTGGAAAATTACCATGTTTGATAGGTAAGTCATGTTGAAATGTGCCACTTTCCAAAGCCAACTGTCAAATTAAAAGGGTTACTTTCTGCATCAATCGACCTATGCAACTATTTGTCCAAATCATATTCTGATCCGCTATACCACCAGGCGCTTTGTTTCGAAGATTTGATTTCGTTCCCTCTCATTTAATGGATCTTAAGTTTGGAGTCTGATTCTGGCTTCGGAGGTGTGCCTATGTTTTCCATGCTGTTGCCATTGGTGCATCAGAGTCACATGTCAGTCACATGTCATTCACATGGCATTCCAAGCGCGATGGATCTTGGTGTGTCAGGCAATGCGACGCACACCACTATCGAATCTTCAGCCCTGTGGGCATTCTGCCGTGGAGACTTGTTATGGTACAAGAATGTGTCTTCAATCCACTGAACTCAAATGAAAATGGTAGCAACAACGAAAAACAAAATGGATACCTTTTTTCCCGTTGCCAACAACCCATCAAATTCATAGTGTCATGTAATTTACATCAACATACTACCAAGAAAAGGGCGGGAAACAAAAAACAGCAACAGAGGCCTGAAGTAATCGATGAATAACGTTGGCTTTTGGTGCCAAAAGGCGACCAGAATAACAGCTTTTGGTGAAGCCACCGGCACTGGAGTGGCGGGAGAGGAACTGTTTGATTTTAATGGACTTCTATCACAATCTGTTGAACTTTGACCATGAACAAAGACATCATGCGATGTTGGTCATGGTTTCAAGGTATAGATAAATTGATGAAGCTGTTGATTTCTGTTTTTGTTTAAATATGTTTAAATCATTTTGGCATGTTCAGACTCAATCTCGTTGCTGGGACCAGCGCACCCCGGTGGCGCCTGTTGGTTTTTGGACCCTCGAAGAGGGGCCCTGTTTGGACCGTCAGGGTCTAAATAACAGGCCGAACGGACAGGTCCGTTTGTGGGGAGGGCCAAGCTTTTTCCACAGCTTATTGGACCTGGATAAAAAGCATCCACCATGACATGTGATAAACATAATTAAACATATATATATATTATATATCAGTGTATCATATATAAATAGACTATAACAGACTCTCTGGTTGGTAAATTACCTTCCGACTCATCTATAAATGGGATATTCTCCATAGCTATGTTTAATGACCAGAGGGTACCACTTGCTATATTTGTTGGATTATGTTGGATTGATCCCTCATCATTTCACATCATTTCTATGTGTTCATTATATAATTCATTAAAATTATTATATTGTCTTAGTTTGAAGGAGGAGCAATTGTCGGCAAGTTGAGATGTCATTGTGCATGATTTGTTGACCGGCGGCAACAAAACAAGGGAAATACATGAAAATACATGGGATTCAGCTGTGTAGGGGTTTTGTTTCCCCAGTTTTTCTGCACTGGACACTAAAGGCATTCGATTATTTGCCCACAACGACGACAACGATGAATCACGACAAACTTTGTGTCACCCATATGGTTTCCTTCGCCTTGAGACATTTGGTGGATTCTTTGGCTCAATATTCTTTGGTCATTGCGGTGTAGAATAACATTCCTGTGGTCGGTCACAGTCACCGCGGAGGAAAAACTCGGGGAATCTGGGACTTGGAGGAACTTCGAGGGCTTTCTGGGTGGTTTGGTTACAGCTAGCATTTTCAGGAGGAAACCTCTGTGATTTGTTGTGTTTTTGTCGTGAATTGTGAAGTGAGCATGTATATAATTCTGTATGTATGTATATATATATTATACACATATATTGAACAGTTGACCGTTGCATGATTAGAGCTGTAACAACCAGCGCGTTCAAGCTGTACAAGAGGTTTTGAAGCTGTTAGGTTAGACGGACTAATTCAGCGTGCAACACTTCAGTGGAACAATCTCTTCACCATTTCAGTTTCAACTATTGGTTTATTTGACCATGGGGAATTCACGCAATGAATGGCCAAGCAGCCAAACTAGTGATGTGAACCATAGGATGATCCCACTTTGGGTCGGGGTACCCCCAAATGTAGCAATTTCAAGGAGGGAAATGATGGGAAAATGATGATGAGCCACAGAATTTCGGGCTACCATGGGCTACCCCCAAAAAAATTGACCAGCATAACCAACTCAGTTGAAAACATATATATATATATGTGTATATATATATATATATATGTATCAACCACAAACTCATTCGAAACCATCGAAACCATCCGCAGCCCTCATTTTGGCGCGCCCCCTGCGGTTCCTGCACGGCGAAGCCGTCACAGGAGAGGGCGCCGGTTTCAACGTCAATCCACGGGTGTAGACCTGCAAATTGGGTATGGATCAATACCCATTAATACCATTTTTAGGGGAATGAACATCCATTTACTGTACCAGCTATTTTGATGTTCACCAGGGGTACAAGGTTTTGACACACTGCCAAATGGCCATTTGATAATATGATTTTATATGATTACTGGTATATGGGGAAAAACATGGAAACAATAGGAAAAACATGGAAAACATATGACAAACCATAGAAACGTGGGGTGTAGCCCATGTTCAGACACACCCACATCAAGGCCTAATGTAGTGAAGCCAATCCCAATATATCCCAATGACCCAATTGATAAACCATGATAAAACATGATAAATCCAATCGCCTGGTAGGATGTCAATGCTTAACCGTTAAGTTCGCCAGATTCCACCAGTAAAACATCAGACCATCTCCCACCTGGGGACCCTTGGGGACCCTAAAAAAATGTCCTTTTCACGGGAATCATCTAGGACTTTGCAGCATGACCATTCCTCAAAACAGAGTAGGATTGCCGATCGCTCCCTGGCTGCATCAAAACATGAAAGATGTGTTGGAAAGCTGACACTCGTGCTATTGCTGAGATGTTTTTGGAACGAAAAAGTTGGGTTTGCATTGACTTCATTCTTGGACTTTGTCTGACTTTGTTGGCAGTCTTGTTTGGTCCACTAGTCAGGGTCCCTGGGTGGCAGCAGGATAGTCCTTGAAACGACATTGAAGTGGCTTTGTAGCTTTTTAATGCTGTATAGATCTCTTGAATTATTTGGATGCATATCATTGCTGAGATATTTATATGATACATAAATTATTATAAACGGAATTATATCAATATGTGTGTTTACCTGAACCACTAAATCACAGTAAATCCGTATCTACTCCGTATGACCTACATTCTTCAAAGCTTGCACCAGCAACTGCAGGCAACACCTCACCATTTGTCCGTGAGTGGGGAATCATAGAGATGCAGATTCCTGGCACTTGGTGATGCCCCATGTTTCATGGCGGTGCAAGATGAATATCCAGATGTGCACAGAGTTTCATATCGCGGAGTTTGAGGGAATTCCACAGAGAAGGAATCGAGTAGTATCAGTTATGAAATTCTGTGAGATGTCCCCTATTATAATATATATATATATACGGTTGGTTATATCCCTTCCATTATATCCTTATGAACTTATGATGGATCTTATATCACAGGATATCAACGAATCAAAGACACCCAACCCGACGTCGGGCCCACTTTGTTTGGCCAATGACTTGCCACACGGTTTGAGCGTTGGAGGCAGCACATGCAGAGAGGTTCCATGACGCTGCTAAACAATGGATTTCCCTCCTTGGACTTCCATGGTTTAAAAAAGAGAAACAATACCGTGAAATCCAATTGTTTCAATTGTTGAAGCCTCATGTTCCTTCTTTCAAACTGCCATAAATTCCAAAAAATCCCCATAACTTCCTCAAAAAATCACCCTAAATTCCCATAGATCGTGAATAATCCCTAGTTTGTTTTCGCTCAAAAAAAAACCAGCCCAGCTCGTCATCAGGTCGAGATGAGAGGCGGCGTGCCCTCAGCGAGGTCTCACGACGTAGCAATCCCATCCCAGGCGATGGAGGGTCACCAACCTTGCAGCCATCTCATAATATATATATATATTCTATATATATACCCTATATATATACATACAGATAGTCAATCTCATGAGTGGATATTATCTCAAAAGCTTAAACAGTGACTTCCTGTAGAGTTGAGATTTTGTTGGGTGGAATGGAAACATACCTGCTTACACCAGCTGAATCTCCAGGTAGCATGCAGCGGGTTGGTGTGTATTTCTCCAAGAATTGGACCCTCAAGTGGCGCTGAAGCAAAGCGGCAAGACGATCATCAAACATGGGAATTGAGGATAGCCTAGTTTCAGACATTTTCAGACTAACTGACATGTGAAGTGCATATAAGTCCATGGAGTTTCTTTCTCCAGTTGCATTCTGAAAAACCATTTAGTACCAACTTGAGCATTCCTGGTTCAAGTTGGATATCCTCTTGGCTGTTGTCATCAGACGATTTGTGCCATTGTCAAACACAAAAAAAATTGTCCCATCAAAGGGGATAGGATATGATAGGATGGTCATCCCCCCGTTAAATAGTGTATATATATAATTATATACATGATAAACAATATATATATATATACACGTAATATGATATACTATATTTATATGATATACAATATATATATACATGATAAACAATATATATATATACATGTATACATATATGTTGATATAACCATTAGACGAAATCCCTCATGATGGTCGGATGACGATACCACATCTAGCATGTTGTGACCATGGCACATGTGGTTTTGGAGGCTATACAGGCCATTTGGATGGTCATAAAGTGGAGAACGTCTTTGGCGCAACTTTTGGAGAGGCCACCGACTGGAAGTTACTGGGATGATCCCTGAAGTCAGTGGATAGTAGATGAGAAGCTGATATGGGTATGGGTCAATACCTATAGATACATTTTTAGTGGGATGAACATCCATTTACCAGCTATTTTGGGGTTCACTAGGTACCAGGGTTTTGACCCATCCCCATATTCGAACACAGATATGTCTTGGGATGTAAAATTTAGAGATCCTCCTCAAACCAGAGCTTATTTGCATCGCTGCGAGGCACTCTTGGTCGGAGAAGCAGTCCCAAAACTCAGCAAGGGGGGACTGACCAAGCCAGTTTGTTCATGTGTTGCCCACTGAGAAGAATTGTTAAACCACAATATCTTAAATTGGTGGCAATTTCGCTCGAGATTTGCCAGAAGACTGAGAGCAACCTCCCTGATTTGATAGCCATCTACCCACCACCTCATTTTGGAAGGTCAACTGAGGTTGATTGCTGGTTGCTGGTAGCTTCAAAAACATTCATCATTCAACTAGTGCAAATTCTCCCCCGCTACCCTCCCAATGCACCATGTTTCGCAGGCCCGACAGCGGCGAGCACGGGGCTGCCTACCTGGAGATCCGGTGCTCACCAACCGAAAAGCTCGGACTCGTGCGCCGGCATCGGGGCACACTCAGCAAATTTTACGGATAATAAGAATATCATGTATTATAATGTTGTATAAGATCAACTAAAGATCAACTAAAGATCAACTAAAGATCAACTAAAGATCAACTAAAGATCAACTAAAGATCAACCATTTCAATCTATTTCAAAGATCTGATCGAAATTGAATTGAATTTGATATATATATATATGTATATAACCAGATGATGTTTGGATGTGTCCGAACAGGCAGTACGGTATGCCCATGTATACCCTCCAAATGGCCATTGTACGCCCTATGCCATGCCCAGATAACTTCGACAACGGCTCCTTGAATAGCACCGTGGGGAGCAAGCTCCAAAGGGATGAGCCCATGGCGCAGGCAGGACGACCACCAGTGAACGCCAAGCCGACTCTGACAGTCATCAGTTGTACATAGTTGTACTATTACTACTATAATTGTGTACTGAATGGTGGCTGATGCTGCCTGCCTCGCCAGAGTTTTTTTTCAGTATGACAGTGGTGAGATGGTCCAAGCGCGGCGAAGCAAAGCGAAGCGAAAAAAAATGATGTATTTCAGCAGCAGTACGGAAGATCTTCAGCATTTCTCACAATTCATATCATTCATGCAGCGTGACAGTAATTAATATATTTAATATCAACAATTATGACCAAAGCATATGAAAGCATATGAAAGCAAGCTATTTCCCATGCTGCAACTCAGTCTCCATAGCAAACACTTGCCCATAGGGCCCATAGTGAACGGGCATTGCGTGGCACCTGGGATTGTGCCGATTGCCTCTTCGGACCATGGCAACACTGGCCACACCAAAGTCGGAGCTTCTGGGCTGTTGCTTCTCCATCGGCTGCTTGGAAAGACAGCCTAAATATGCCTAAATACTGTACCACCCTACATGAGGACAATATGAGGGAAGAGGTTGACATGTTGGAATTGTATCTGGGCCAATGCGGCAGGTGAGATTGTAAAAGAAAAAACAAGTTGGTTGAGGATTGGTTCTGGGCTTTGCACTATCCTTTTCAGAAAGGGCTCGAGTCTTAGGCTATGGCGACTACATGAAGCCCTGCTGCCTTCAGACTCAGCGCATGGCCAGTTTGGGAAGCTGCAAAGTGGCTCATCGTTTAGGCCAGCCTTTGAACTGTGGAGAGGACATTCGGAGACTAGGTTTTAATATTGGTTTACTAGGGGTTGCTATACTATATATAATATATATAGTCTTAGTGGTATTTTGGATATATTTCCGTCTGTGATCATGTTTCATTTGTTTTGCTGTCAGCCTGTTTTGGCCTTCAAATTTTGGAATCAGACATCACCAGACTTATCCAAGTCTCAGAACAACACAAGATCAACCCCATCCAATCCAATGTATACAGATAATTACATATATGTGTATGGATCAATACCTATGAAAATACCATTTTTAGGGGGTTATTCACATCCATAAATCCCAGCTATTTTGATGTGAACTACAGGGGTACTATTGGTTTTGACCCATCCCCATATATATATATATACATATATATATATATACATATATATATATATACTATATATATATATTATATATATATGAAATGTCCTTAAATGGATGTCAATGGATGCCTAAAAAAACAAAGAATCGATGGGCAGGTGGCGTGACCGCCTTCCAGCTGAACCGTTGCCCGCGGAATGCCAGGGAGGCACCGGTTGAGATGGGTTGGTAAACCTTTATTGTATGTATATAATATATATATATGTATATATATATATATAGTCATCCCCAAATAGATGGAAAAGTAAATCACCATTAAATTAGTAGGGTATGTATAATATATATCTGGTTGGTGGTTTGGAACATGGCTTTTATGACTTTCCATAAATTGGGAATGTCATCATCTCAACTGACTTTCATATTTTTCAGAGGGGTTCAAACCACCAACCAGATATAAACATATATGTATATCACATAGATTTAGACAGTATACATGATTTGTCAGTTGAACATGTCACAAGATATACCTGGACTTGAAACGATTGTCACTTAAACTCATGTTTCCCGCTTCCCCCGCTGTTCGATACACTGTTTTGGATGTGGTATGATGTGGTACCTAAATTCGAACACCGAGCGACATTAAAATTCAAGCAAGTGTTGGATATTTGCAAGGCTGGACAGTTGAACACAATAAATTCAAGTAAATTCCAGCGTAATTTTGGATGCAAATTCGAGCGAAAGTATCCACAAGACGAGCGCACATATCCACACACAAGCGCCACAATCAGAAACATGTCACTCGTACAGTACTCGGGATCACGTGGGTTGAGATCTTGATTCGAGTGTTTTTTTAGTTTGATTTTTTCTGGAACTTGCACCCCAAAAATAGCATTGCTATTTTTTCAGTATCAGTTGAAGGTCCAGGTATATGATGGTATATGTACATGTAAAGACAGAGATATTTAGGATTATTTAGGCTATAGAGTTCCATTAATTATCATTAATTGATGTTGTTTCGAAAGCTTCAGTCGATATGTTCCATGCAGTTACTCTCCCAACGCCCGAAGGCTGGAAAGCTGATTCAAAGGTATGGCTTGGTGATCAATCCGGAGATCCTGTCTGAAGGACTAAATCCTGCATCCCGTCACAACGCGCGAGGGGGAGGGATGTGTTGTATGTGTTGTGAGTTGTTGTGTTGGTTATTTTATCATAGTTTATCGCATCTTTTCCAGTCAGAATCCGACTTCCGATCAATCTATCAATGTATCAGATTTGGCATGGTTTGGCATGGTTTGGCAAATGCCTTGGGATGGTGCAGGAACACAGCCAGAAGATGCTACAGATGCTGCAGATTCTGGTTGGCGCCTGCAGGGGTGCCTAGTTCATCCATGGCTGGAAAATCCTCATCAAAAAGGGTGATTCTCGGAGGGTGATGGTCACCCATCTTCAGATAACCTTTGGGAATACAATGTGGTGATGCAAAAAAGGTGGACATAGATGACCGGTGCTTTTATTAAATAACCAGACAGTGGCTAGTCTGTGAGTGAGTTCTGCCATTCTGGTGTGGTCCCCAACTGTACTCGTAGCAGCTCCTTTGCAATCGTATGAAAGATTGCTTTGCCATAAGCTGTAGGTGGAACACTACCAGCTTTACTTGATATTTTTTTTAAATAATTTAATAGTAAAAATGTGCTCATAAATAGTTGGATTTCCATCGCCAGCTTTGTTGACTAAGTTCAATGGTCTTCCCACTTCAGCCAGGCCATTCTTGGGCGCTGCTTCTGTGGCCTCCTTAGTGGGATTGAGCTGGATGAGGTGCCCTTGTGATCCTAAGGGCAGCACTTGGTGGTTGATCAGAGGCGGTTTTACTACACAAAATATTATCCTCTGGTCATTTGGTACATAGCTATTGAACATTGCCATTTATAGTGGATTTACCATGATTTACCCATTGAAAATGGTGATGTTCCATAGTTATGTTAGTTTACCAGAGGGTACCCAATATGCAGGGGATTATCACCATCCATGATGGGAAATACTCTCAACCTATCAACCAACCAATACAGAGGACGATAGAGGCTTTTGAACACTGGATCCACTGCAAAACCAATTGGTTTACAACATCCAAGTGCATGCCAAAACAGCCAAAACCTTCTCCGAAACTTCTGCAGTTCAGTCAGCCCAAAATATTATAGAAACACGCAAGTCTTATATAACTTATATAGGTTTTGGTCCAATAGGTTGCAGGAAATCCTAGCTGCAGATCATTTGGGAATGGACTTTGTGCCAGGTGTCCCAAACGTAGACCTGTGAGACTTGGCCAAGAAACGGCGGTGCTGGGGTGGGTTTTGTGACTCGTTTTTTACAGCCCTCATCACTGCCCTCCATGAGTTGTTGGTGTCATCACTGCCAGTTGATTCATTGCAGCATCTTCATGGGGCTCTTAGCCCATCAATAATTTGCAGAGGCTAACGCAGTGCTACCGACACTGGGTTTGGAGTTTACTGCAGTACTGACAACACCCCACGGATTCCAAAGCACCCAGTACGAGTCAAGTTTTCTTGCCTTGTTGGGTTGTTTGTCGGATTGTCATCGCGCTCTTTAGGCAATAAACAATCTTACTGATTCTTACTGTACATAGATGATATTGATAGTATTAAGTTGTTCTGAGGCTGCAAAAACAGATGATCTATGATGATCTACGAAAATTCATCCTCTGCAATGTTTCGATCTCGTGCTCATCAACTCGGGGTAGTGTGTAGTCTTCATGCCATTTTAATCTTACCTCGTAGTTGGACATGTGGTTTTAGACATTTTAGACCTATTTATTTCCTGTGCCAGAAAGCCCTAGCTTTCTCCAACTTCGCCAGAGGCAGAACGCAGATCCCTTGCTGAGCACTGCCGAGGTCGGATCGGATATTGAGCGAGCGGTACCCACGTTCTTCTGATGGAAGCAATATTGCCTGGTCCAAAACTGGAAGAAACGCCAAAATGACAATGTTGATGGTGAAAATGATGGTAAACCGATTTGGGGGTACCCGATTTCAACAAACCCAGAATACGGTTGTTTCTTTCATTCATACCCTACTCTTATGCAGCCTGGGCAGGCACAGTAAGCTGCCGCATATACTGAGCCCGCAGGGCGGGTCGCCACCTTTTCGCTCATAGATAGGTCAGGCGAAGAGCTGCACAGATTTGCCTGGCCCAAAGGGAGCACTGGGAAAAAGAGCTGTGCTTATTGTGCTTTCAAGGCACAAAATTGGATTATGGGAAGATGGTCCAGGAAACCCCTAAAAATAGGGGAAAGATCATGGTTTCCTGTAGATTTTCCCTTAAATCCATCTATTGAGGTTCTGCTGGGAACAGGACCTTGCTCACTTTTAATCCATGAAGATCTGTAAAGATGGGGATGAGGACTTGGAAAGAACATGTAAAGACCCTAAAACACATGTGTTTTAACCACTGAGCACCATTCAAACACTATTCAAACATATTCAAACCATCAGTAAACATCTCCAGGTCCAGGTTGTTGCGGTTCCTCCAGTGGTTTCTGGCAGACCATCTCTGTGTACCACAACCCTCGCGGCCACGGAATTCGGGCGGGCGTACGAAGCTCAGAATAAGACTGTCCTGGCTGACTTGTTTGATGCGATCCAAGCGATTGGTATCGATGTACTGTTAGACTATGGCAAAGCATGGTAAAGCCAAGTTAAAAATGTTTAAAATATTTTCAAAATTAATATTCAAATCACACATTTTGGATGATTTTGGGTGGTTTGAAGTGGGTATGATCCATTTTTCTGGCAGAACTGGAATCCGAGGCCGCGGTTCCCGGCTATGCTGGATTCATCCCCAGCAAGGCCCGTTGTCAACAGATTTGGATGGGCAAAAATGATGGTTGAGAAGATCTTTGCTTCTATTTTCTATATTTTTCTATTATTTGATGGCCATAAATATATATATATATACATATAAATATTATAAATATATTATAAATATCATAAATGTGGTGGGATACTTGTAGCCCAGTTTCAGACACACCCTCTAGAACATTCTAGAACCATGCAGAAAGGTCACTGAGGAGTCTAACATACTCTAACATACTCTAACCAGGTCTTCGTGAAGGGAACCAGTGCGATTTTTGTCACCAACTCCTGCGGCAAAACCCCGAAAAAAGAACGTAAGATGATATCAGTTATTGACGTATATTGACGTACTGTGACGTGTTGAAGGTTGATGAAGGTTGTACAATTATTATACGTATATATATAATAATTAATAATAATATTTAGGTAACTTTGTTCCCATGCGTCTGTTTCATTTTGATGCATCATGCATCATGATGGTCGAGGTCGCCGGGAACTGCTTCGGAAAGCGAATGGCCCTGGACAACCTCCACGCGACCGAGATGCGAAAGGCCAACGATGAGGCGGGCCAAAATCGCCAAGGCGGTGGCTGCCAGGGCTCATGTGCCTTGGTTGTTTTTTGTTGGTGAAAAAAATGTTATTTAACATATAGCCATCATATAGCTATGGTTTTTTAACAGTGCTTATTGTTAGCATAAACCAAGTTTTTGTTCAATCATGGTTTAACCACCAATCAGTTGGTTTTCACTGATTTCACCAATCAGTAGATGGCAAACCCAACGGTAAAAATGGATTTAAGAGATACTGTAGTTGGCTCTTAGTGAAGAATTTATACAGTTGTCTCAACAAATCAATTTTAACTTGTTGGTCCCAATAGTAAACAAATTCCCAGTTGACAACTGTGGTATTAAACGGGATTTTGTTTTTTTGGCCCTCAAACGGTTGGTGACTGGATGATTAGCAATAAACCCCAATGAAGGCCAAGAATTGCAACGGCAAGCTCTACTTCAGAATACTTCAAGATGCGTCAAGTGTTTCGCAACAAGAAACAAGTGCAACAGCCTTTTGCATCAACAGTATGTAATTATCAGTGTTTGGTGTGTGTGGTTGGTGTGGTTGGTCGCATGGCCGTTATGCCAGGGTGCAGAGTGGCGCACCAACTGGATCGTTGCCAGCGAAACCAATCGAAAAAGGTGCGATCACCACCCTCGAAAAATACCCTCCATGCGTCCACGCCACTCTTCAGTAGGCTTGGAGGTAACAACACCGAAGCTTCTGATGTGCATTAATCATGTCGGCATCAGCTGGTTGATTTCATACGCTGAAAGCACAAGCTGGGAGAAAGATGTGTTGTTTCCCGAGAAACCACCCCAACCTTGGACGTAAAAATATGGGATGGGTCTAAACCTGTTTTCATATCATACCATATTAGGGTCGATGAACCTCCATTTAGCAGCTATTCAAGGATTACCCAGGCTACCAGGGCTTTGACCCATAGCCACAGGCTATCGCATGGTGCCTATGCAGCCCGGAGCCCTGATTCTTGTGCTACAGACTGAGGACAGAACCAGTAATATGGTAAAGCCAATAATCAATAAACATCACCATGGGTTGTGCAAAATCCTCCGCGAACTGTTGTTTACAATAAAGTATATATATGTATATATAGTGGGTATACGGTATACCATGGTTTATCACATTGTGATGGATATTCTGCACTGGGCTCAGACGGCGAACGAACATGTGCAAGCAAGCACAGGATGGCTTGTCGGATTGGACTCAATTGACTGGGGTTGATATTGTCAACAAAGGTGATTCTGAGCATATCAATCTGGCATAATTTAGATATGCAGATATGCATTTCTGGCTGGTGGTTTCAAACATGAATTTTATTTTCCATAGTATATGGAATAATCCTTCCCGTTGACTAATATGTTTTCATTTGTCCAGATCCGCACGTGAATCTTTGGTCAACTGCTCCATGCCCATTTGCGAATCCCTTGGAGCCAGATGTGCATCAGCGCAGGTCAAAGAACATTTCCAGTTCACGCGGGATGCACCAAAGCGAGAGGTCCGGACATGTCCGCTGTTTCCTTTTGGCATGGTGTGGGTTCAATGATTTCAATATGTTTCAATGGTTTCAACGGTTTCATATCATGAACACTATATGCCAGGGTCAAAACATAGTCTATGGATGTTGGTTTATGTTGGTTTATGGTCATCCATAATGGGAGTCCAAAATAGAACGGTCCCCATTATTGGATCCCAAGTGCCAACTAATGAAGTGGTGCCCATTTGACCATCCCCCAGAAAAAATATGGGTCACATGCATTGATCATGGCGTTGGAAAACCCAACGATTGGGGTAAACCCGCATCCTCATTCTAAGATAAAATGGTTCTATGTATGTTTCATTTTGTTTCTGTGCACTTTTCAAAACTATGATATGTGTTCTTCTAATTATTATGTCTACTATAGAGGTTTATATCGTGTAACTGTTTAAATATGAGTTTCCTTTTTTCATTTCTCAAAATGGTTTTTGTCATCATCATTTGTGTTTCATGTTCAACATAATGATCATCATACGCATCATAACCCTCATAATCATCATGATCATCATAGTCATCATAGTCATTGTAGTCGTCATCGTCATCGTCGTCGTCGTCGTCATCATCATCATCATCATCATCGTCATCGTCATCGTCATCGTCATCGTCATCGTCATCGTCTTGTCATCGTCATCGTCATCGTCATCAACATCACTTGTCAATAATCAAATGTTGGTTCTTATTGATTACTACTATGATCAGGTTTGCTACAACCAATTTTTGCTGAGGGGAAAAAATGTTCTGTTTTACCTTAATTTACCTTATAATTTTCCAGTTTTTTTTCCAAACATCTGTGGGGTGGCCAGAGAAAAAACGCGCTAGGCACCTGGTTGCACCTGGAAACTTTGGGAGCCTTCGACAGCTCAGCAATGGCGACTCAGCACGACGCATTAGCGAAAAACACGTGCGAAAAGGCTGGTTTAACCATTAAAAATGGGGATTTTAGATGGACTTGAAGTCAACCTGGAAATTTGTGAGTTTCGAAAACTCGGGTCATAGATGGTCATAGACACCGCTTCAAATTGGTGTTGAAACCTGTTCCACTATGTTACACTTGCTATTTCTTTATGCCCAGTCAAAAAACTGGTGCAGAAACCCGACGTAAAAAAACGTTCACCTCATTCTGCCCAGGATCAGATACTGACTCTGCGAATGCTGATCAGCCTGGTCCGGGCTTGTTAATCTTATAGAGATTAAGAGCTCATGGATACAGATTCGTGAGCAAAATTACCAAAGCCTGACAGTGGCATTTCAAACTTTGGATTATCTTGTTTCATCTTGTTTCATGGTATGAAATTTGGCCTTAAAAAAAACTACGTCGCTTCTTGTCCCTTTGTTGGTGGTGTGTTTCAAGCTGAAATGTCACGCTCTGAGCTGTCTCACTTGCAGATCCTCTGGTGCAGCAGTGTTGGGTCTTCGGGTAGCTGAAAAGCTCTGAAAAGCCAAGTTTGCAAAACAAATTGAGGTCATTTCTCTTTGTTGATGTAAGAGTGGCAATTTTGCCATCGCAAATCGCGCCCATTTGGGCCATTCTCATGCCACCAGTGATGTTCTGGCCATCTGTCGACCACCAGAAACCGACTCCACAGGAGCCGGGACAAGCAAAGTCTTTAAGTGGCGCCGCCGAAAAGATGGAGATCTGGATCACTTTGGGTTTGGGATTCTTTGGGTAGGGATTTATAGGGATTTCATGGATTTCCCAGGTTTTTTCAGAAGGCCATATCCATCCATATTTAATTTACAATACAATTTCACAGTTGCATTTTTGATGGCTTCTAAACTCTGCGAAGCATGGCGATCCAACGGATTTTTTAGCGTCACTCGCACCGGTCAGGACCGGATGGTTGCACCGTGTTGCACCTTTCGAATCTTGAGAGACCCAAGATTTGCAAACCCAAAAAGGTGCGTTAGAACAACAATGGACTGAGCAACACTGGCAGTCCACAAGGTGTTCAGATTGCTGGCAGTCCACTTGATTCAACCGATCCTGTCTAATCACATCTAATCCAAAGATCGATCGAAATTGCTGGCGTGACCTGACAATTGTCCAGAAGTGTGCCAAAACGTTGGAACACGTTGGAACATGTTGGGACCTACGTAGGTAGCTTTGGAATAATTATCTGAACATATATCTGAACCATTCCGAGTCGCCCTTATAAGCACTTGTGAGTTTGGTCGCCATGTCAGCCGAAGTCTCACAGTGCGCAAGAAAACGATGTCGTGCTAGGAAATTCAATAGCAAACCATGTCCAATAAGTAAATGGCTGCGAGTCAAAATGTAAAGCCCTGATCCATATCCTGAACCCACAGGCCGATCCATACCTGAATTTTGACGCAACCCCAAATGTCAATAACATATAGTTAATGATGGTTAATGATAGTTAATAGTGGTTAATAGTGGTTAATCCAATATGGTATATGGATTTGTGTTCAAACAGACAATCCGCAACGGCGACAATCTGCACCGGCAAGCGATATTGGTTGCAACAGCGTGATCACTCGAACCATTTCCCGTTTCCCAAAGCAAGAACATGAGTAGGTCAGAGGTTGGCGCAAAGGGACCTGGAAAGTACGCTATAACATCAGGTCGCTGGTCTGAATCAAGAGAGAGATTGAACCCTAATTGCAAGGAACATGTAAATCGTGTGCCAAGGACAACTTAGGCTCGTATGCAGAGTACGTTCTGCAGTGAGACAGCAGTTACTGCCATATATAATATAGTCATAAATAGTCATGGTCCATGTCTAAAGTCAGCGGCAGACCACGTGCGTATTCGGTGGAAAGGCTGGAATCTTGTGCCATGGACAACTGAAAAACATATCCGAAATGCGACGCTCTTATCTCGCAAGCAAAAGCATATACAAATGCTATATACAATATCCGCAACAAATTTCTCCACGCAAACTAGCACAGGCAAGTGTTTGTGCACCCTAACCCGAAACATAGTTCATTTATGTTCGTTTATATAGCTTCAATGAACACTGCGTGAATGCGCCCCAACCGAATTAAGGCACTCGAAGATAAGTAGCATTGCCAAGCCAATGGGATTCCGGTTTTTTGCAATTCGATTGGCCATGTCACATGGAAGAATGTGGAAATCGTTGGAAACATTGGAAACCTTGTTTCCTGTGGACAATGTTGGACAATTAGTCCAGCTACCTGCTACCAGGGTGGTACACCTTTGCTCTGAGGGCAGCTGCACCCGGTCCGTGTGAAACTGCCCTCGAACAAGCAACGCAGAGCATTGTAGTATGACAACCAACGTGGCAGATTGGCGGGGTGACAAACTTAGCAACAATCATCCATACCAGTGTTTTTACATAGGTTTTCAAAGTATAGATCATTATAGATCCGAGATAAACTTAGAATGGGCCAGTGCCGCCAACCTAAAAGAATGCCGTTGTACTGTTGTACACATGGTTTATGATGGTTTCTGGCTATCAGGATCGAGACGAGGTTTTTTTTTCCGCACATGGAATGCCTAACGCATCACAGAGCTATTGCCACAAATTCGTCCATCCAACTACCACCCCTACCGTTCAACCATACTATTGGTCCTCGCTGAGCCTTGTCCCAAGGCGTTCGGAATCCAATTTTTTGCCCAGCCCACCTGACTAATGCGCTCACTGTGGCACAGTGTATATCGATATCATGATATTTTACAATATGATACAATATATTACTATTATACATACCATATGTATATATATATAATTTAGTAGTATATTATATAGTGTTGTGCAAACAAATATGTCAGGACATGCTAGCCCCTGCCTTGTGCATGCGAAAACGGCTCCCTCTACATGTGGACGGCCATTGGCCTACGTTGAAGAACTGGTAGAATGTGTCATGTTTGTGCCTACAGCCCAAAAACCGGACTGGCGTTTTGGTGGTGGGTTGGGGTGGTGCTGGGATTTTAACGTTCAGTTGCACCTGCACACATACTTGTACCATCTTCTACCTGCTGCTACGCTACACACGTCTTCTGTACGCTTGCACATATATTTGATGCTACGCCAAACATGCCTGCTGCACGTTTGCGCAGGCACTTCATGCTACGCTGCTACGCCAAAATACATTGAAAAGTCGAGACAAGCGATGGCAAAGACGCTGAGGAAAATGTTAAAGGAAACTGTGAACGCAGCCCGTCTTGGAGGGTAGTCTTCACATATATGTTTTATTATGTTTTACTTTATTGATGCTGTTGCATGATCATATATATAAGCAAAACAATACAATTTCATTGCAATTGGTTTGGTAGCCAACCCTAAATAAAGTTAAACCAACCGTAATTAACGCCTAAACCAACACTGAATAACCCTTAAACCAGCCCCGAATAACTCCGAGACAAACCTTAAGTTTGAAAGAACCAAATAAACCCTAAACCAACCCTAAGTAAACCCTAAACCAACCCTATTCAACCCCCAAACAAACAGAAGACCAACCCTAAACCAACCTTATTCAAACCCAAAACAAATCCTAAGCTAACCAAAAACAACCCTCAACAAACCCTAAACAAACCAAAAACCAACCGTAAATGCATTTCAACCAGCCAGAAACAACCACTAGACAAACCCGAATCCAACCCTAAATAAACTCTAAACAAAGCCGAAACCAGCCACCAACCCTAAGTAAACCCCAAACAAACCCTAAATAACCCACAAACAAACCGTAAACAAACCCTAAACCAACCTTCAACAAACCCTAAACAACCACCTAAACTAACATAACTTCAACAAACCCTACACAAGTCAAAAACCAACCATAAATGCATTTTGTATTAACCAACCACAAATAACCACAAGACACATCCTAAACTAAACAAACCCTTATCCAACCCTAAATATACCCTAAACAAAGCCTAAGCCAACCTTCAACAAACCCGAAACAAACCCTAACCCAACCGTAAATGCATTTTAAATCAGCCAGCAATAACCACTAAGCAAACCTTAAATACACCCTAAACCAGCCCCAAATAAGCCCTAAACCAACCCCAAACAAACCTTAGATTCCCTAAACAAAACCTAAACCAACTCTAAACAAACCCTAAACCAACCCTAAATAAACCTTAAATAAACCCCAGACGACCCCTGAACAAACCCCAAACTACCCCTAATCAACCCCAAACCAACCCTAAATCAACACTAAATAAACCGTTAACCAACCATAGAAAGAACCCAAGCCAACCTTCCCTAAAGAAACCCTAAGCCAATCTTTACAAAAAAAAACCTAAACCAACCCGAATTAACCCTTAAACCAACCGTAAATCAACATGTTCCAAATACCATACGCATGAAAGATCCAAGCTCCAACGTGTTGCAAATTCCAGTCGAGTGAGAAATCTAGGCTCCAAAACGATGCAAATGCCAGGTCAAACCACCTCGGCCACAAAACGGGAAAAAAATGAGAAAAAGAAACGGGAAAAAACCTCCCCAAAAAATTGCAGCCCTAAAGGCTGCTCAACCAATTCTATTCCATGAATTAGATGCCAACATGTGTTGCAACTTTTTGAGACATGCGCACACACACACAGAATATATATTGTTCCTGCTCACCCGCCCCACCATTCAGGGATGGTCCCACCGACCTGCCCATAATAAAGATATACTGCAGCCTTTTTTCCATCGTATCGCAAGAGTTGTACAGGCATCTGACAAAGTATGACAAAGTCGTACCTGTTTTAGGAAAAAATCGTTGTGCCTTGGGGAAGTGTGTTTCGCAAAAGTCGTGCCTCTAGCAAGAACGCATAGGAACTTTGGAGTTTGGATATGTAATCCGTTTTCTTATGAGATCACGTAGCTTATCACTATTAGCATGCAGAATTCCAGGTTGTGGGTATGTTGATTAGTTATAGGTAAGATGGCGTTGAGCTGGTGATTTGATGATTTTGGATGTTCATCCCAGATTATCCTGTTTTTCCCGAATGCATAGCGAAGGGTTCCCGTTTGTAGTCTGGGGGTCTGGGGGCTGGACCCTTGTTCGCCTCGAGTGGCTCGTCGCGTCGTCGTCGGGTCGGCGTCGCGTCGTCGTCGCGTCGTCGTCGCGTCGTTAATTCCGTGTCTATGGGGGAAGCTGCAAAACCTCTCCTTTTCGAAGGTTTCCAAGCAGGTTGTCATGTCGTTTTGCGTGGCAGGCGTGGCACTTTGTCACATTCCAACCTGTTTGATAACGTGTCGAAAGTGTCAAAATTGGAGGAAGTCTCGCACGAAATGCTCGTTTTGCTGCGCCCACATGTCTCGTCTCGAGTCTCTGGTTTTCCTGT